AGGTAGGACTTCCGAGCATTGTCTGGACGAAGCACGTTCCCGGGCACCACTTCGTCGCAGTACAAAATGCCTCGGAGCCCGCTGCTGCCAGAGTCTACGGCAGCTTTTGCCACGATGTCCGCCCAGTGTGGGTGCAGTTGGCACTTCTGCTGCATGTATGCCGGCAAGCATAGTATGGGCAAGGAGATCGCTTCGGCACCTTTGTCTATTGCCTGGAAGTGTATTCGTTCGAACAATTCTGGCGAAATGTCATACCGGCCGTTGAGGTCATGCCGAAACGCACGGCCTTCCATCCGGTTGAGCACACATGCTTGCTGCACCAGAGGCAGGTTTGTCTCTTCACGCAAGACAGCCCGCAGCTGGCTCTCCGACACGTTCTCTGCTTTCCTTTTCGCCATGCTATGTCTTTTTTACAACATTCCAAATAATCTATAGAGGGGCTTTACATATATATGTATATAGATGTCTACATATGTGTAGGGTTTAGGGTTTAGGGTTTAGGGGTGTTGGCCTATTGAGCTATGGGAAAGGGTCGTCATCGGTGCCTTGGTTTTGAGCCGGAGCTGCATTGCAGCAGAGCACCTTCAAGGCGTGTGAATGGCCGTGCTACAGGGACAGGCAACCTGGAAGGCTTATTTTGCAGCTGCGGTTTCTTTTTTGGCCTGCCCCGTTGCCAAGGTGAGATACAGTGTGCGGTCATTTATAAGATGCATCCCTCGAAGCACGTGACTAGCGCGTCCTGCTGCTGCTTGCCGTGCTGCTGCGGGCGTCTGGCCGTGCAGCTTCTGCAGGCTCGCAGTGTCGGGCACGCTTCGCTGGCGTCTCCTGACACGACCTTGGCGAGAGCTGCGCTGCCATGCTCATCTGCAGACCGTCCTCTATGTCCGCGAGAATTGCATTGCCACGAGCTTGCACTTCGAGGAGGTCTTGCTCCTCCCAGTAAGCTGCTTCTGGCTCCAGGAAGTCAGTGAGGACAAACTGCACCTGCTCTTTCAGTTGGCCCAACAAGCGTCGCAGCTTGTCGCTTAGAGGATCGGTCGGGTCCTCGAGGGCATGCTCTAGCTGCAGCCGCAGGCTCCGGAGAACCGCAGCGTGGCTCCTAGCAAGCATGCTTTGCAACTGCGGGTTCTTCGGCACGGGCGTTCTGACTGGTGTGCCTGGCACGACCTCGTCCTCCGAGGCGTGCCCCGGCAGCACGAGTGTGGGGACATCGGAGCCGGGAGTGCAGGGCAGCGTTGCCGAGTCCGTTGCCTTGTC